ATAAAATAGGAAAATGGTGAACATGATTGATAGAGAAGACAATAATCCAATTATCAGTTTTTGATGTTTCATGCACAATAATTCAAAATGTAAAGTGAGATCATGAGCATGACACACAAACGAGTACATGGAGAATAAGGTAATATTGCAGTAAAAGAGTTGCCGAGATGGTAATTCTATTGTATTCTAACCAATTGAAGGAGTTAATATTACATTACCCGGCCTTGTTAATCCAAACCCGAACCCTATCAAAGCGGATTTCTTTTGTGACAGATGAATTTTCAAGAACAATCACAACATCTAGGGAAGGATTTTCCCTCTTGATTATTGCTTGAGCTACTTCACCTTCCAATCCTAGGAGTTCAGGCCATGAACGCTTACCTAAGAAATTATAGATTAAACCAACAAGAAAAAGCATTAATGTTGCCATTAAAAAACCATAGTTTAATCTCTAATAGGGTTTAAACTAGACTAGAAAAAAATTGAAACGTGGTTAGCTGCTAATAAATGGTTCAAATTACCTTGGCATTCAGCCATTTTTCTCTATGCTTTTCTTCTTGTACTCTCTTGAACTTGAAGATACTTTCTTGTGATCACTCGCTGTAGACGTGTTGTATGCATTCCATTGTGGACCATAATAGCTCTAGAACTTGTTTGCCTACATCTCGGGCAAGTTGATTTTTGATTTTACTATTTATATCAATTCCAAAAGTTTGAGATGCTGGCTCCTTTGACTATGGCCATGTCAATTAATTCAGTGAATTTTTTCAAAGTTTACGCACTAAAATTTCTCCTTCCATAATTCACTTGTAAATATTACTATCGAATCCCAATTAAGCCACACTATTTACAGCATCACTTTTGTGTTTTTTCCATAGTCGAATCAAAAGTTAAAATTAGTGATTAATCTTTCTTACACTGATAGTATATGCACTATCAGCGTTAGATGAATGACAATTATGAAAAATTCGAATTTGAATTTTAACTTTTACACATATGTCATGAATATAATGATGATAATGAATATAATGATGATAATGTATATACTATCAATATATATAAGATTTCGCCTAAAATTAATACAACCGACTTGACAGAAATATATTGTCTTATTTTGACGGCAACATGCCTGATCGCATAGCACACATTAGCTTGTCATGCAGCATATACGCAATTAATACTAACACAACTACTTCTTTACTTAGTCATGTCTTAGATGGTGTCTATAAATATCCAATCCCAGCAGTTCAGGCCATGAAGCCTTACCTTCAACCACACATAAAAAAAAAGAAGAAGAATATTTAGTCTGTTAATCCTATTTTATACAGTTGACAATCTAAAACGAAAATAATAGTCTAGCATTTTAAATGCTAAATTCCGTTATTTTTTTACAATAAGCTGATCAATACTAACTTTCATTAGATATGGTTTTGGAACATCAAAATTCGGGAGGACATTTGCAACAGATGGATCGTAAGCTGATGCTTGTGTAATACTTGAGGCCACTACTGTTGGCTGGCTAAGAGACCAATGCTCAATCATCCGAAGCTTGTTGTTTCAGGTTGTTCGTGCATCAAGTAATTCATACATCACACTTTTTAGACAACCTCAAAATCGATCCCACAGCTTTGTTGCGTTTATGAAACTGGATTCTGCCATAACATCACTGATTTATTCCTTTCGTGATCTCAACTAAAATGATGGTACCTTTTTCTTCCACTGAACTCCTTGATGGTACCTTTTCTGGTCCTGCCAAGTTTGCAGAAATACGAAATGCAAATGATGGGTTCTCTAGATTTCTCTGGTTTCTTTAAAAAACCCACCCCACCCCCCAACCCCCCCCCCCCCTTCTTATAATAATAATAGTAATAATAAAGAAGTATTTTTTGGTCATCATCACATAGCATATTATACAATTGGGACTAAAGAAATATTTATTTTTCAATGGCACGAAAACTTTTTTGGTTGGGATATATATGCAACAAATGTAATTAAGTTTTGCCAGGCTTTGGATCGCATGCATTTCTACCCCTGATGAGTCTCAAGGTTGTCTATGCTTCTTTTCTTTCCTTGGCAAGGCTTTACGAGTTCTTTCCGCTCAGTGGGCAAAGAGTGATTACCCCAGTTCAAGGGGTACTTAACTTAATTCTTGTGTAATACACGCCTTAACACATTAGTATTTAAACGTTTCTCCATTAAAACTCGAAAATCAGAGAAAAATATTAGTGTCCAGTCATGCATTTATAGGTTTATGTTCTCATTTGTTAATATACTTCAAGGTGCTTTTATGCTTTCTCGACCAAAAGAACACAAAATAAGATGAAAACAAATTAATACACAGGAAATTAGACCGAGCCGCTTTTATTGGAAACCAGAAGTTACATTGGATAAATTTGACAACGAAGAGAAATCCAATTTTATTTATCCGAGGCAATTATTTTTGTTCATGGCGTAAATAGTATACTACTAGCTAGTTGCTAGCATGTGTGATACTTAGTGTCAATGGATCTGCAGCTGGTTGGATTCTTGGGCACTCTCTAACCAATAGTAGGAACACTTGTGACAATGTTGTTGGTGTCAATCCAAACCCAAACTCTAGTACAACGAAAATCTTCAGGTACTCCCGTTCCTTCCAGAACTATTATAGCAGTGACTAAAGGGTTTTCCCTCTCAATTGTTGCTGCAGCTACTGCACCATCCGTTCCCAGGAGCTCAGGCCATGAATCCTTACCTATAACAAGACCAAAAATACCACTATAATTTGATTTTGCCATGCAAAATTTTTCTTGATACAAAAATAGAATCCTATCGACTTCAGTACATAGGAACTAACACAAGTAAAAAGTCCTGCAATCTCAAATGCAAATCAAAGCAATATAACATTTGCAATTACCTTTGCATATTGTTGCCATTTTTCTCTACTTTCTTCTTGTATTTGCCAGTGATCTCAGTTTGTGATTATTCAATGGTGAACTATGCGTATTTATGGTAGTGCTGCAACAAAGATACGTGCAATTTTATAAGATTTAAGCTTCCACTTGCATAAAAGAAAGAAATGCAGGTTTGGTACGATTTTGACTAAGCTGATACAGCCACTTTGAATATGCATGAAATTTCAGGTCCAGCATACAAGAATGCTTAATCATCCATTCCATGGTGGCTACGTCTGAAATGACTGTTGGTGCACGGAATGTTTACTTTTCAATCTACAAATAATTTTCTCATCCTTATCGCCTGTCAGTCAGAATATGATTCATTTCTCGAAGATCATTTTATAAAGTCACTTACTCTTCTTTTTTAATTTTCTCAAAAATCTCTTTTCCTCGTTTTATTATTATTATTTTAAAGCTTTATGCATGTTAGGTATAGGACTACTTTTTTCAGACCAGTTCATTCTGAGTCTAGAAATGTCATATGGGTTTGGCTCACTCCAAGAAGTTCTCACAGGATTCACTCCATCGATCAAAAAACCTGTATTTGGGTCCAAATCCAAAATTCTTTGGACTTGTGAAGTTGATACAACATCCTTTGTTAGCTGATACGAATACTTTTTTTTTTTTGAAAGATGATACGAATACCTAAGTTAATTCTTGTTTAATACACGCCTTACCACATTAGTATTAAATCTTTTTTCCTTTAGAACAATTAAAGGTTTATTTTCGTTTTCTAAAGTGCTTCAAGATGCTTTGATGCTTTCTCAACCAAAAGAACAGGATAATTAGTAAAGCCACTTTCATTAATTGCAAGTTCATAGTCACATAAATATACATATGACAGCAAAGACAAACTTAATAAATTTGTCTGGTGCATTATTTTGTACATGGTCCATTTGTGATACGTGCATGAGTATCAATCAGGTTTTTGGGTTCTTCAGCACTCTAACTAATAGAAGGAATTCTTTTGACAATCCTGTTGGTGTCAACCCGAACCCAAACTCTACTACAACGAAGATCATCAGTTACTGCTGGTCCTTCCCCTAAAATTATTGCAGTGATTGCTAAAGGGTTTTCCCTCTTAATTGTTGCTGCAGCTGCTGCACCATCGGTTCCCACCAGGCACGAGCTCTGGCCAAGAATCCCTACCTATAATAACAATGATAATTTGACAAGGCCATGAATAATTTTTCTTGCTACAAGAATTGAATCTTGTCAACTATAGTGCAGAGGGACTAACATAAGAATTCCTACAATCTCAGATGTAAATTAAAGTACCAAAACATTTGCAATTACCTTTGAATTTTGTTGCCATTTTTCTCTCTTTGTTCTTGCATTTCCTCATGATTTTGTTATTATTTCCTTGCATTTTGATGCGTTATATATGGTAGTGCTACGACAAATAACACACGTAATTTTATAAGATTTAAGTTGGCTGGGAGGCATGCAAGAAGCTTAATCAGGATTTGATGGTGGCAGCGTCAGAAATGTGTTTCATAATATTGGGGTACTTTTCATTCTATAGAGAATTTCCTCATCATATAATCATAACAGGTTTTCATATATTTTGGGAAATTACAAAAAGGATTCTCTTTGTTTGAGAATAATACGTATAACAACTTTAGTCTGAAAATTGAATTGATCTCAATGGGAAAAAGGGGTATTTTGGGTTGGAGGAGTGAGAGTTTCTCGGCTTGAAATCATCCAACGTTTCACTTTCAAATCCAAGAACATTCTTTTCTGTTCCGTGTGATTAGTGTTCAACATATTTTGCTCTCCTGGTTGTCATGAAATTGGGATCTGGTAATTTTTTTTTGGGAGGCGGGAGGGGGGGGGGCCAAGAAAAGCCAGCAAAATTCCTGTAAGTCTGTAGTTCAAATAGAAATTGCTTTGATGAGAAGTCAAGAACGTCTCCAGAGAAAATACGAAGAAAAACTTTGAAGGATTGTAGATGAATCATTAGAATATGATGAAAACAGAAGACATAAAGAAATGAAGCAAATGACTATATATATATATATATATATATATATATATATATATATATGTTCCTTAAGTTGCCTTTGCTTGAGCCACTAAGGCTACAGCAGTAACCAATGTAACACCCCTCAAATGAACAATAGTCAGTCAGTCCTAAGACAAAAGGACCAACAGAGTCTTGCAAACCACTATCTCATGTAAAGTTGTAATCAATTAAAGAATACAAGAATTGTTTACTAAGATGTGAAATTCATGATTTGCTAAAACTGGTAGCAATTGGGATTATGACAAGAAGAATGATCACAAGGAGAAGGATGATCCCAATGCACATGCACTTTCTGCTGCTCCTCTGGTAGTCTTTTGCAGTCTTGAGATTTTTGGTTCCATCACTCACATACTGAGCAGCATTCATCACATGGTGCTGAATGTCATCCAGTTGCTCCCCTTGTGCCTCCACCATCACAGCCATGTCCAAGAATATTTGATGCAGCTCTAGCAAACTCTTCTCTATTTCCTTTGCTGCATCATACCTGTCCTGTATTTCCACCACTGTTTCCAGCACCATTCCGCTCCCATGTTCCTGGCGACAAAAAGAGAGTTATCATATATAGAACGGGCCAATTAGATAGATCATATAGAAAGGGTGATTTGAGATGCATACAACTTTGAAGAAGATAAAGAACTAAGTAAAATATCAAATGAAGGAACTTTGTTCGATTATAGGTTATGGAACAAAAGCTCCCAAATGCCAGGCAAGATGAATTATACTAGAGAATTCTAAAATTGGCACTTCTTAGTTAAGAATCTGAACTATCAGATCATTAGAATTTGAAGTACCCTTTCCTCCTCACCCACTAAAAAAAAAATTATAGCAAAAAGGCCCATTTTAAAATCGAAATTGAAAAAGGGAAACTAATTAAAATCTCAAACCAAGAACCAATATAAATCCAAAAGTTAAGATAAATTTCAGAAATGAGAAAAATTTTTAAAAAAATGAATGAATAGAATATGAAGTATACTAAAAGTTTTAATTCTTCAAACCTGAATGGCCCTGGACATGAATTCCTCACCACCCTGTCCATTTCCACTAGAAATAATCTTCTCAATCACCTCCTCATCGGGGTACTCCCCCGTCACAGTAAAGTACCTTCTACCTACAGTTTCCTTATATTCAGTCATCATCTTCTGCCTCAACCCCTGAAACTCCATCATTAGCTCCTTCAGCTTCTTCCTAAGCCCATTAGTCACCGCAGACCTGGTCCGATCAACTGGGGTCCCCTGTTTGCACCCGGAAAGTCGCCGACTCACTGCATTAGCCCTGTCCATTTCCTCCAGCTGAGACCTAATACTCTTAGCCCTCTTCAGCACTGCCAGAATATCGGCATTTATGCGTGTTCGAAGAGATTTTAAGGCCTCGGGCTTGTGCAGAGCCTTCCCCTCTTCATTGGCTTCTTGCAAACGAACCAAGATTTCTCTGATTGAATTCATTTCTTTCTTGACCAGCTCTGCTTCTTCCAGGAATGAACTGAGGTTTTGGTCCATATGGGTCATCCCCATTTCTAGATCTGGACCGGCTTCGAGATCTTTCATTGCTTCTTTCTTTAGATCGACATAGCTTGTGAAGGATTTCGTCATCAAATCATTCATCTTGACTTTTTTTTTTTCCTGGTTGGGTGCTAAAAATAGAGAAAGAAAAGGCAGACGAAAATGGAAACACAATTTTTTTTCAGGTAGCAAGAAATTGGAGCGGATGCTGAATTTCAGATGGCAAGTGAGGGAGAATCAGATTGAGATTTTGGGGTTAAAGGAAGAAGCAATATAAGAGTAGCTGATGGGATTTGGGCATTGATTAGAGATATAGCCGTTAGTGTTTCCCAACGGCTATATTTCAGGATGGATAGTGTTTTATCGTCGGGTTAATCTCACATACCTCCCCTGAGGTTTTTATCAATTGCAGAAAACTCCCCTCAATTTCTAAAAATTACACTTACCTTCCCTATTTTCACTATTTAAGTAATATTCTAGACCCAAAAGGTTATACTTTTTTCAAAATTCCTATAATGCCCTTGAGTTATAATTCATAACAAAAATGTAAAGGAAAAAAATGGTTTACAGTCTCTATTTCATTTATATTTATTTCCTACCACTATTACCTACTTATTAACATCCAAATCACTACTAAATAAAAACTTATCTTTGTTCTAATGTTCCTCTTTTACCTAAAAATTTCTGATGCAGACCATTATATAAACTATAAATGCTACATCATATACCCAAAAACTTACCTATAATTTCATAACAATATCAGATTTTACTTAATATACTACAATATTCATCAATATCCCAAAATTTCAATTCTATGGTTACCACCTTTTTAATACAAAATAATCTAAACCATCACTACTAATATCAATATCCAATATATTCCATTGGCACAAAGTTCAAAATCAATCAAATTCTCTCTATAGGAATAATATCAATAATTATAAATAAAAAATAGAAACACAATGCAGTTATAGATATATACCAAGAACACTTTTTTTCATAATAACCATAACAATATAACCTATATTTAGTTCCTATTTCACTTCTTATCCTTAATTTTTATTTTTTTATCACTGTCACTATCTTCATCTCCATCTAATTTGATAATGAAATTAACACTCAATTTGTCATTTGACAATTTCAATTTGCTAATACCTATCAAAAATTGGAAACAAAACTGGGCGCAAGGAAACTATTTACTAATAATGAAAAACTGAGAATTGGGAATAAATACCAAGATATATAAGTATTGGTGGTTTAATGTGTATGATGATTTTATTAGTAGTGACAGTACACATTTGATTGATAATAATAAACAAATGAGTTTGAAAGAAAAATAGATATATGAGTAAGAGAATAGATAGTTAAATAGAAAAAACTGTGATTTGAATTATTGGTTAATAATGGATGAGAGAATTTTAATATTTGATAGAGTTTTTTAATAAGTTGACAATTAATAAAGGACATTATTGTCTTTTTATCATAACAAGGGAGGTCTCTGTAATTATGTAAACCCCCAAGGAACCGAATGAAATTGTCGAAAATCTCAAGGGAGGTTTCTGAAATTATCCCTTTGTCGTCCAACGTTTGAACACTTTCAGGTCCATTACTTGTTTCTGTTTTTGTTTTTTTATCCTTCGTGTACTAATAAGCTTCTTCATGGTAGAGACCGTAAGTTGGGAATTTAGTCGAAATCAAAAGTAGAGCTTCCTCAAGAAAACAAAAAATTTAAAAATACAGGTAAAAGTAATTTTCAAGAATGTTATTGCAGTTAAACTTTCCAATTTGTTTGAGAAAGAAAAAACTATTTGAGTAGTTGTAGATCTTTGAGACAGTAGTAGATCTAGGCACATGAGATAATGAGCCATCCAATGAAGAGTAAACTTTTATAATTACAATATGGTAAGAAGTTGACAGTTGGTTCGTAGTGATGCAGTAAGAACTTGTAATTTTTGTAATTGCAAGAAATTCAACTGTTAGCTTTCACTTTTGTCTCTTATTAGTCACTGCATATTTAATTATGACAAATCTGTTGAGCCATTAAACGTTAGGCATTAGGATTTCAAACCAACGGGATCAAATCATCCAAAATCAGTTTCCAAATCCCAATGAATTAAAAAAGCCCTAAAATTCTTAGGATTATTTGAAAAAATTGTTGTAGCATTTTTTTATGATGTGATGTATGTAACATAAAAAGGTGGTTGAAAATATAAAAAAGTGAATTGAAAAATATGTTTATGACGTAAACGAAATATTATTTGAAAAAATAATGGCTCTGTTTGGATTCAGACTTTTTTGAAAAATAATTTTTTCATCTACAATGGTACAGTAACACACAAACAAAAAATAACTCCAAAAACACCATATCTATACAATATATCAAAAACAATTTCAAATATACAAAAAAATACACAACTACCCATCATTCTCCACCACCACGGCCACCACCTTACTGCTACCACCCCCACACCCACGACCCTCTCTCCTCTCTCTCTTCGCCCATCTTTCCTCTCTCTCTCCTCCTCCTGCTCCATTTTTTCTCCTCCTCTCTCTCTTTCTCCTTCCTCCTTTCTTCTTTCCCTTTCCCCGCCCCCCAATTTCCTTCCCTTCGACTGACCGCAACCTTTCTAGTCACGATCAAATCTGATCGCGACCAGAAGTCGTGACCAAGACGGTCGTGGTTAGAGTGGTAACTAAAGTCGTAATCACCACCCGCGAGCGAGAGAGGGGTTTGGGGTTGGGGGGAGGGGGGAGAAAGGAGAAGGGAGAGAAAGAGAGAGGAGGAGGGAAGGAGAGGAAGAGAAAGGAGAGAGGGGGAGGAAAAGGGAAGGGATAGTGATGGGTCGTGTAAAATTTTAAAAAAAGTATTCCAAAAAAATTGTAAATTATAAAAATACTCAAAAATATATTTTAAAAATATCTCTAAAAACAATCCAAAAAACATCTAAAGTAAAAGTTTTTTATATGCACAACTATAGTAAAGTTTTTAAAAAACACTTCCAAAAACAACTAATCCAAACAGAGCCAATGTATCCAAACAAAGCGGTCATTTTCAGTAAATTGGTTTGTCCTGAGTCCCATGCATCTTAGAGCTAGCTTTTGGGTTAAGTAGATACTAGGTAGTAATAGTATAAAATTTAAATGTTTTTTGACGAAAATTTTAAAATGGTCAACTTGAATATGATTTTAACGAAAAGCAACTGAAGATTCTAAATTTACACTTTCTTTTTGTGTGTTTGTATGCTTTGAGGAACAATTAATTGAATCTGCAAATAAACATTACCTATTCAAAGTACCAGTTCTTTTCGGACATTTTACTCTCAAACATTTAATTTATGATAAATAAACTTGTAGGTTATATATTTAATATAAATTAAATATTTTTAAAAAAAGAAATGGCCCATAAAGTATTAATTCTTTATGGCTTTCCTTCATTACATGAACAAAGTATCGGCTCTTTATAGGCATTTTATTTTGAATCATTTAATTTATGTTAAATACATAAATATTTGTAACTAAAATTGAAAAAATGTTACACTAATATTTTTATGAAAGGGAAACTGGTAGGTTTTGTATTTAACCAAAATTAAATATGTGAAAGTAAATACAAATTTAAATTTGATACCTCTATCAGGCAATTTAAATTTAAAAAAGATTTGTATTTTACCTCTATTCATGTGATATGACCTCAAAATCTGAAACCTCTATTTAAATTTGTATTTACTTTCACATATTTAATTTTTGTTAAATACAAAACCTGCCAGTTTCCTTTTCGTAAAAATATTAGTGTAACACTTTTTCAATTTTAGTTACAAACATTTTTGTATTTAACATAAATTAAATAATTCAGAATAAAATGCTCATAAAGACTCAATACTTTATTCATGTAATGAAGGAAAGCCATAAAAAATTAATACTTTATGGACCATTTCTTTTTTTAAAAATATTTAATTTATATTAAATATATAGCCTACAAGTTTATTTATCATAAATTAAATGTTTGAGAGTAAAATGTCCGAAAAGAACTGGTACTTTGAATAGGTAATGTTTATTTGCTTATAAACTACACCCCTTAAAATTTATTAATTGTTAATTGATTTGTAGTACTTTGTAATTCTTTGCTAACACTGTTTGATATGTAGCACAAAGGGCAAATTTGACACAAATTTCTCATTTCACTCCCTAAAACAATATTTTAATCTCCTGAATTGAATATGCAAAGAATCAATAACTTCAAGGGGATCAGTGCTATTTCTCAAACCACAAGGGAGGTGAGTGCAAGTGTTAGAAAGCTCAGGAGAGGTTTCTCCACCACCTAAATAGTTAATCTTGAGTTAAATCATACCTCCTATATAATTTCCTTGACAACTCCAAGTTAATATCTTCAGATTTGAAGGATCCTTAATGTATTTGCTGCCACTGGTGCAGCTTTCAGTAATTCGACATATATAACAAAAAATAGTTTCCTTCACAACTCCCAAGTTGATTTTGTTGGTCAAAATTTTAATGGGGCATAGAACTACCTTAATTTCATCTTTATGCAGTCACAAAACAATTGAATAACCTTCAATTTGCATTTGAAGACTTCAACTTATTATCTGGCGGCAAGGGACTGATCATCTCATCAAGGATAACAGGCTCTTGCCCTTCAGATAGATGCTGATCTAGTGCCAAAGAACGAGTATATTGATCAGGGGAGAAATCAAGCCTCCTCATTTCCTCCAGAAGTAGCTTCGCCTCGTGATGCTCACTCCTTTTAAGGAACTCCCGAACAATAGTGTTGTAGGTCACACTGTTGGGTGGACAACCATCCTTGTCCATTTTTTTAAGCCACTCTTTGGCCTCACTCAGTAGCCCTTCTCGACAAAGGCCATTTATCAAACTAGTATATGTTATGACATCAGGCTGCAATCCTCTAGATGGAAGTTTGTCAAACAAATCTTTGGCAGCATCAAACTTCCCATCCCTACATAGCCCATCAATGACAGCATTATACGTTATTATGTCAAGATTTAAGTGACTATTTTCCATCCGCCGCAATAATGAAAGAGCTTCTGCAACAAATCCATTCTTGCACACGCCAGTTATCAAGATATTATGAGTGGATAAAGTTGGACTCACTCCTTGAGCTTGCATCTCCTTGAAAAGCTCAATAGCATCGGCAGATCTGCCTATATCAAATAATCCCTGTAACACAGTGTTGTAGGTGATGACTGTTGGCTTCAGTCCTTTCTGAGGAATCTCATGAAACAAGGTTAAAGCATCATCTATGTTCCCTTTCTTGCAATATCCCTTTATCAGGACACTGTAGCAATAAATGTCTGGTGCACATCCTCTAGCCATCATGATCTCTAAGACTTTTGCTGCTTTGTTCATGTCCCCTCGCAAACAATATCCATCCATTAGCGCAGAGTAGGTGAATGCATTAGGACCTTCACCACTTCGAACCATGATCTGAACTATCCCCTCTGCCTCTTTAACTAGCCCTTTTTTGCTAAAAGCATGAACCAATTTATTCAAGGTAATAACATCTGGATACACATCTAATTCCACCATGTCAGAAACTAACTTTTTAGCCCCCTTCAATCTGCCACAATTGCAAAGGCCTTCAATTAACGAACTACATGTGATAACATCAGGTTGAATCCCCTTCTCAATCATTTCTGAAAGAAGTTGGAGAGCATCATCAATCATCCTATCCTTGCACAGACCACTAATAACAGTGTTGTACACTACGGAATTAGGCTTGCAATTTCCTCCCTCCATCATTCTCAACATTCCAATCGCCCTCTGTGTATTACCAGATTTGCACAGCCCATTTATCATGGTCCCATACATTACTTCATTGACCTCACAGATTTTTTCTCTGACCAACTTGTTGAATAATTCCTCCGCCTCCACAACATTGTTCCCAAAAAAGAAACCCTTTATCAGATTAGTGAAGATGGTAACATCAGGTTCATAACCACTCTTCAGTAACCAGCCTAAGATTGCAAAACTCAAATCCACCCTATTCAAATGGCAATAGCAGTTGATCACTATTGACACGGTATAAGCATCAATGGGCATATCCAAAGTGCACATTCTTTTGAAAAGAGAAACAGCAGGGGCATAATGCTTCATCTTAACAACAGCCACTAGAAGTTGGCAGAAACTTACGACTGAAGGAGGCGGCAGCACTCGGGTCATTTCATCAAACAGACGAAGTGCCTCATTCAAATCCCGGAATCCTGTTTTGCTTTTCACTGACAACATTTTCCGTACTTGGTTTCGAACAATCTTCTTCAAGAATGGTGATTTTTCAGGTGGGTTTTGGATAGTAGTTGTGGCATTTGAGGTAGAATAACGAAACAACGCAAATGATGTATTGGGGGAAGGGCGTCTCTGAATTCTATTCATGATCATCATCATCTCTCATCCAACCTAGAAGAATTGGGTGAAAAAAAAAACATCACATCTTGTTTGTTGAGACTGTAATAATGGAGTGTTTTTCAAGGGTTTTTGTGTGTTAATATTTGCTGTTCTGAATCAATTTGCACTTCTGAAATATATAAAATTAGAAGCATCCATAGCCCAAAAAATTAGAAGCAATTCTTGGCTTGGAAGAGGGCCTGAGATTCGAAAACAAAAATAATGGGCCTGTTTGGCACCCTAGTTTTTTACCAAGTTTTTTAGCTACTAGTTTTTTAACAACTTTTGCTACAGGAATCCCAAAAAACTTTTCAAAGTTTTTTACCTACACACTTCAAAAATCTATACACAAAAAATTTCTCAAAAACTTTTCTTCCTCCTTCACCCAACCCACCACACCAGACACCGCCTCCACCACCTCTCCCGGCGCCGGTCACTTATTCCGGCGCCGCCGGTAACCTCAAAAAAATATTTTGAATTTTTGAGTCCCTCACCCTCAAAAATTTATTATATATATTATATATTTATATATTTATTTAAACATATTATAAATATTTTATTTTATTTAAAATATATTTTTATATATTTATATAAATATTATATACCATATAAATTAATATTAATATAAATATGTAATTATACATTTATATAAATATTATATATTATATATTTAATATATATAATACATATTATATATATTACACATTTATGTATATATATTTATGTATATTTATATACAATTATATTATGTATTATGTATAACATAATACATTTATACATAATATTAACACACAATATTAATTATACATTTATACATAATACTAATACATTTATACATTTATATTAATTATATTAATACATAATATTATATATTTATATATTTATAATATATTAATTTATATATTTATATAATATTCATTTATAATAATATACAATTATTACATTTGTAAATATATTTATATTATGTATTATATGTAATATAATACATTTATATATTTTTATATACCTATATAAATATATTTATTTATAAATGTATTATAAATGCATAAATATATATAAATATTTAAACAATAAAAATTATAAATTATAAACAATATAAATTATACATTTATACATAATATTAATACATTTATACATTTATATTAATTATATTAATACAGTTATACATAATCATCATATATATATTTATAAGTTACAATTTATAAATTTATATAATATTTATTTATAATATATACATTTAAATTAATTATACATATATACATTTATAAATATATGTATATTATGTATTATATATAATATAATACATTTATATATTTTTATATAAATATATAAATATATTTATTAATAAATATTTATAAATGCATAAATGCATATAAATATTTAAACAATAAAAATTATAAATTATAAACAATATTAATTATACATTTATACATAATATTAATACATTTATACATTTATATTAATTATATTTATACATTTATACATAATCATCATATACATTTATAATTTATAATTTATACATTTATATAATATTCATTTATAATTTATACATTTATATTAATTATACAATTATAAATATATGTATATTACGTATTACATATAATATAATACATTTATATATTTTTAAATAAATATATAAATATATTTATTTCTAAATATTTATAAATGTATTATAAATGCATAAATGTTTAAAAATATAAAAATTATAAATTATAAAATACTCAAAAATATGTTTTAAAAATACCTCTAAAAATAATCCAAAAAACGTCTACAGTAACATTTCAAAAACTTCTACAAAAAAGTTTTTCACCTTACAAAAACTTCTACAAAATTTTTTCAAAAACTTCTACAGTGCACTACAGTAAAGTTTTAGACAAACTCCCAAAAAACTCAGGTTCCAAACAGGCCCATAATAGTCCGGCTATTTTATTTTTTTTTTATCTTTATCTTTTCTATGTGAATTTCAGTTGTTTCCTTACACTTGTAACGTTTAATTGCAAAAAATTATTTTTTTTAAGCCCGATGTTCAATGCAGAGTATTTTTCCTTATTCAACCAACAGAATAAATTTTTATAGATGTAAAGAATGAATTGAAATTGCCCTTATAATGCTATAAAACTAAATTGCACAACTCTTTTTAGATGTAAAGAATTAATTGAAATTGCCATTATAATTCTGTAAAACTTAATTGCAAAACTTGCTTTGTTTTTAGGAATTTTCTAATCGCTAAATAGTGGACACTTTTTGATACAACTAAATTATATCACACTTTTAACGAGTGCAACCTAGGGTCCGTTTGTTTCGGGTGAAAATGTTTTCCAGGAAAATATTTTCCTAATTTCCCGTGTTTGGTTGCACAAAAGTTGCTGAAAACATTTTCCTATGTAAAATATTTTCACTCATCTTATGGAAAACAACTTCCCTTCCAAACTTACTGAAGTTGTTTTCCGAAATGCATGCATCCCGCCTGTAGTATGTTCCAAACTTACTGAAAACATCTTGTAGTATGTTCTTTTTTTTTTTTAGTGTAAACAGGAGGACTCGAACCCAAGACCTCTTCCTTACACTCCCTCCTGCGTACCACCCAACCCAACCCAACCCTCCCCTTAGTATATTCAAAATAAAAAAAAAAATCTCATCCTGCTCATCCTATGCTAGTAATTAATTATGTATGATAGGGACATTCTTTTCTAGAGAAACTTTCAGCAGTGAGAGTGCAAGATATATGTCACAATAAGTATTGCATGTGATTGATATTTGACACTAAATGACCAGCAATTTGTTTATTGCTTAAGGAGATATTTTTTATTCATATATACATTTCTCCAAGATTTTTTAAAGTTAAACAATGAGATAAATTTTATTATTTTGTATGGGAAGAAGTATGTAGTTATAATATGTAGAAAGTAAAGATAGAGATAAAAGTGAAAATATTTCAAAAGTTAAACAAACACCAGAAAAATGAAGTAAGAAAATATTTTCAACAAGCTAACCAAACACCTGAAAATGATGAAAGGGAAATTATTTTCATGGAAAATTACTTCCACGGAAAATTTTACTTCCAATCAAACAGACCCCTAATTCAGATTATTTTCCTTCAATGACCTGATTTTCAATGCAGATTATTTTGTACAAGAAAGGGCAAAAAGAAAATTTGAGGGTTTTGGTTGTAATATTCTTAAGGTCCACGGGCCAAACCATTCAAGCAGCCTGGATCTCATGATGAGGAGCTGCAATTCGAGCTTCGCGTGTGTTCCAAAGTAGGGGTGTATTCAAGCCGAGTCGAGCTCGAGTACCGCTATACTCGAGCTCGACTCGGCTATAATATAATTATACTCGAGCTCGAGCTCGACTCGATAAGGGTACTCACCGGTAATTTCTCAGAATTTATTTACCTATATTAGTAATTTTATATATAATTTTTTTTAATTTTTTATGTGATACTCGATAGAGCTCGTCGAGCTCTCGAGTATCAAATTTTTGAGCTCGAGCTCGACTCGATAGCTCTAACGAGCAGCTCGAGATCGAGCTCGAGCTCGATGAAGCGAGATCGAGCTCGAGCTTCTGATCGAGTACATATCGAGCTCGAGTCGAGTAGCTTGAATCAGCTCCACCCCTATTCCAAAGTACTCAACGACATGACGCTTATGGCCTAAACATTCTTAAACATTTCGAGTCCCGACAAGAAGCTCAACCAGAGTCCTGGCGAGAAGAATTCTAGGAATTTTGGACCTCCAAAGATTTAATCAACCAAACACATGCAAGCCTGCAGGATGTTTAACTACGAAATAACAATCAGAAGATCCTCAGCAGTATAATAAATGGAACAGGAAAAGGCTTTTCTTATACTCCATTTCAGAAGAGAAACTAAAGGCAATGCTGCATTTTGTACATATTGAGCATGGACAAACAATCTATAGCCCACTCAGGGAAACATCATTATGACTCTCAATTTCTGGACCATCCTTGTGCTTCCCTGAAGTCTTCTTCTTAAGTTGCCTCTTTCTATTTGCAAAAGGCCCCTTCATGTTATCCTTGAATAGCTCCTCGTACTTAACCAATACTCGTTCCTTCTCTTCAAGTAAACCTAACATCTCATATGCATCAGCCACTTTCCGCACGATAGATTTCTCTGGCGGTTTACGATCAAAGGCTTCCAACCCCTTAAATAGTTTTACAAGATCCTGTAACATGTTATTTCGGTAATAAACAGAAATCATTACTTTACATAGTTCCCAAGAAACTGAATGCAAGTCAGAGCCAATTTTCCTCCTCCAAAATTCATGCGCTTCTTGTGCCCTGTGGTCCATATCTAGCGCCTGAATTAATTGCTTATATGTACCCATTGTGTTTCCTTGCCCCTTGCTTAGCATCCATTTTATAACCTGGATAATCCTATGCCACTGTTGCTCTTTCTCAAGGTTAATCAGCACATTCTTCAGTTGCCCTATAGGAAAATTCCTTTCCCATGCAACCCAGGCATCAAGTGCACCATACACAGCTTCTTTGCTATCATTGAGTTCGAGTGTACTGACAAGAAACTTGGCCTTATCCTTCCTTGAGATATTTTCCCCTATTCGGATCCTGGACAAAGCTCCAGCATCTTCATCGGGGAACTGAGGCACTCTATCACTGCTGGATTGGCTGTCTAAAACTGAACTTGCACTTCTCAGGCTGCGAACTGGATATCGAGCATCCACATTGAGATGGGTAGCATATAGTCTGATTTGACTGAACTGTCTGGCAAGCTTTCCAAGAGATGTTGCTCCTGACATCACTCTTAACGCTATCAAGAAAGCAATATATCAGCAGTATATAAACAAAAGCAAGTATCTCGGACTAATAAATCTTAGAAATGTGAGAGAGAGAGAGAGAGTGAGTTGGTCATGTATGCAAAGCTAAATATCCCAAACAACTAACCTTGCATGATACCATAATTCTTCAACTTTCAACACTTTCAGTTATGATGCAGGTACTAATCCAACATGCAAAAAAGTGACACATCTTTCCAGTGGCTACAGTGTCATAGGTAAATTAAGTTTAGTGGCATTAGATTTCCACTAAGGATAGTTCAACACTCTCCTAATTCCATTTTCCCAAACTAGCTGAAGATAACTTTTTCTTGCTGTTTTGCATGGTTAGAGATAAAAGTTTCTTTCACTCATTAGAAAGTCCCAGAGGAAAAAAGATGAATATCACAACCAGAATTTCTGGAGATGAACTTAGTGTTTCATCAATTTTTACAAACTGATCCAAAGGGAAACTCTCATTAGAATGTGGAATACATGTAAACTGATAGGAAACTAATGTTGTTAATCTAATGAACTGTTTCTTACACTTAGTTAAGCTTGAATTTAATCGTCACCACTAATGTCATATCACCGTAATTTTACTTTTTGCTTTGGTAAATTATATCAAAGTAATTGCTATTTGCTATTAGCAACAAAATTTGCAAGAAATTTTAGGATCCATTCACGGTAAGCCAATGAAATGGTTCGTCTTAAGTATGGAAGTCATCAGACTTCCTTTCTTCTCTGATCTTTTCTTATTGATGCTATCCCAATTTCCCTTGGGAAACTAGTAAAACACAACTATATCTTATTAATATATATAAAGCATCAAAAATTTGGGCAAACTTATTTTATGCTATTAACTTTCATCTGTGGAATCATGCACCTCCGGGGTGATTTTTCAATGTAACATTAAGGAACTGAACTGCTGAAATCTACAATTCCAGCATACACGTCCATTCAATATTCGTACAATTCCAGAAACAATACAAATTTGTTCTGCATCTTCTTTATGCTGCCTGTATGAGTTGAAGGAAAACTAATGGCATTGACATTTGTTACCAAGAGAGCTATCAAGGCAAAGAAGACTTCTTGTTGATCAACCATACACAAACTCACAACCATTAACCATTTTGGTGAATCTATTGCAATCTTGAAGGCCTGGCAGCGCTTCTAAACTATTTTCAGTGCTTGAAAGCCCGTGTTCTAAATCAAGAATTTCATACACATAAATCTTAAACTTTACCTTTCAAGCTAATCGAAGCATTTTATCAAGCATCTACCATGCACACATCTTTCTACTGACTGATTCAATAACACCCGTAGTTAACATATTGTTTTAAACAGCTAACTCCAAATTTACACCTGTTAACCCAGAACCCATCTCATAAAATTAGAAAAAAAAAAAAAAGTTATGCACATTATATTCTCCCACGATGTAACCTCTCGATAATTATGCCCCTGTCAATAAGATACATAAAGGGGTCTTAAAACGCTGAAACAAAAGAAGAAAGGGTCTCAAACCATTGAATTTAAAGAAGAGAACAGGTATTTGAGGCGCAGAACTTGCTCATTTTTTACCTCAATTCCAACCTGTAGCTTTTTTTTCTTCGGGTGAGACACAAGAAAACGGGCGCTACACCTCTTGAAGGATAGTGTCCCGTTCTCCTTTTGGATTCCAATGGGTACTAAAATTTAAGATCTAAGCACAAGAGCTTTGAGAACAGAGTATACAGACTCCAGAGCATCTGATTAAGAAGAAACTTCACTTCCCTCGTATAAAACCCCTACAGAGGTTTTTCCTTTTCTAATTTCGTTTTGTAGCCTAAAATGTAAGAAAGCAAGAGAACACAAAATTCTCGACACCTAGCCACTTTACCTTTTGGAATTTGTACGCCCATGTACGCTTATATTGAAAAATGCAAGCTTATATTGAACGTTATTTGGAAAAATATTTTATATTTTATATTTTTAAGTTTTTTCTGATATGGTATTTATAAGATACAAAGGTAATTAAAAAAATGAAAAAGGCATTTATTTTTGGTTCAGGTTTTAGTACCTTATAAAAAGGAAAATGATAAAGACAAGAATAAGTTACGTTTGGATTGCATTTTTCATGGAAAAATTACTGTAGCGATTTGATGTATGTGAGAGAAAACGTTCATAGGGAAATGTGATCATGGAAAATAACGTAATTTTTTGGCGAAAAACGGCAATCCAAACAAGATTTAAAGAGTGTTAAATTACGATAATTACTTATTGACAAGCAATCGAAAACAACGATGCATTGTTAAGATTCTAATTTTTCAATTTAGTCGTCGACTCAAAATTTCAACAACGTTGTATTGTTAAGATCTTAATTTTTAATTTAGTCGTCGATCCAAAATTTCAATAACGGTGCATTGTTAAGGTCCTAATTTTTCAACCTAATCGTCGACCCAACATTTCAATGCATGTACATTATGATATTTTTTGTGATCTAATATATAAGACAAAAAGATGTTTGAAAAAATTATTATAAAAAAAAAAAGATGTTTGAAAAAGATTTTTTTAAAAATAACTTTTTTTTGTTGGTTATCGCCAAAAAGCCAAAAATTGTACAATGAGAGAGCCTCGTAAACCAACTCTATCTACTTTAAGCACAAACCAAAGTTGAACTTTTTTAGGGTCTTAATTCCTCAGCCCAGACAGCAGCCCAAATGAGCTCGAATATCCCCCCTAGCCCTACTATACTACTAGATTTGGTCACTTTGACCCCTGCTTTCTGTCGCCGACTTTGTTCTGTTCTGTCCCCTATAAAAACTACCACACATATTTGGGCGCAGTCCAAAAGGGTGCCTAAAACCCTAGCAGCCTTCTATCTTTCTCTGCTGTCTGTTCATGGCAGCTACGTAGCAGGAATGACTCATTCCATTTTTTTATACAGAGAAACCGCGGTTGTGAAGATGCGATTTTGAGATCATCTTCTATCTGATTGATTATCTTTTTAGTTTTTATCCCTTTTGTTTCATCAACCGCGTTTCTTTGTATAAAGAGATGTATTGGTCATGATAACTCATTAAACAATTACAAGTCTTTGTTGTATAAAAGAGATGTATTCTAGTGAATTTCTGAGGGCTTGCAAAGCTTGGGGTTTGAATACTTTTTTTTTTTCACTCTGCACTTTTATCAGTATTTTCTTTTGCTTTTTTGTTAGTGGTATTTTGAATATTCATCAGTATTTTTCTTGCTTTCTTCTTAGTGGGACTGAGAATATTTTAACATCTGCGATTTTTATTGGCTCAGGTTATAGAATGGCAGGTTGTAATTTTGGCTTGGCTTGTTCTGCTATCGGGAGAGGGAGGAAATGAAGGAATTGCATGTGATGTGATAAGTCAGTTTTACACCAAAATGATCTATCAAAAAATATGTAGCGGATGCAGGCACGAAAAATTTATTGCTTGCACACATTGTATTGTATGAAAGATTCATTGCAATGTATGTAGCTGATGGTATGAATGCGTAGCTTTTGCAGGCTTTACTGTGGAGCAACTTTTTTTATCTTTACATAAAACTTTTGGATTTGTTTTTGAAATTATAAAAAGAAGGGCTTATCACAATACAAATATGTTCCCATCGTCCAGACTTTTACCTGTAACAATACCAAAAATTTTTTTTTTTTTTCTTACCCATAAAAAATATATAGACAAATTTGTTTTTCAGAAAACAAAAAACAGCCAGAGATGGCATGCCTAATTTATCAAGATCAACTGTAAGTGGATGCAGATCGCAGGATGGGGGAATGGGTAAACAATTATTTTGCCCACTCTAACCTTTAAAAGCTCTAGCAATGGTGTCTTAAAAAGTCCAGCAATTTTCCCTCATCAGCCCACAACTCGAAAATATGATCTATTAGCAATTTTTCAGTTCGCAACTGTTCTCCAATTATTGACACAGCTTATGACATGCTCTGCTTAACCAAAATGACCTTGCATTTACAAAACAACCCAAGCACTCAAAAGAAGATTGAACATCCCAACATGCCCCGACCAATATATCTCAAAGCATTTGCTTCTTGACGTTCAGGTTTACAATAGTCAATAGTTGCACCTGGAATGCAGGGATGCCAACTTTCACCAGTTCTCCTGAAAGCTCTATAATACAAAACAAAGCCATTACAGTATATCTAGCCAGCATCCTGTAGAACATTTGTGCTCAATATTGCTAATCAAGTTGTTTCGTCCAGTCAAATGGTTCCCAATCTCGAGCAAAACCAACTACAGCTTGTTTTTGCATCTCCAACGATTCGTGCTTCTGTCGACGATGCATGTCTTCAGCAGGCAAGCGCAGCATACCTCTTATTACATTAAAGCCAAAGTTGCTCTTAAACTGCTTTTCATCATCAATCACGTGAACGAATCCCTTGTCCAGGCCAAATTCAACATGAAAGTACGGGAAGTTCTTTGGAATTGAAGCACGGAGGCCCTTCTGACTGGTATCAATCAGCTTCTTAGCATTATGTTGACTCCACTCCTCCTCTGCCTCATCAATTGCCTGTGATTACAGGTAGCCAAAGTATCCAAGCATGAGACTCTAGCAGTTTTTTGCTTTCAAGCCATCAACATATTAACCAAAATAATCAATCAAAAGATCTGATTCATCATCGACTGAATGATCTATAAACAACAAACAGTAGGAGTTTACTCTCTTCAGTTTTCAGTAATATAGATACAAGTATACAGATATTTCTCCTTTCTAGCTAGATCGTAACTACCAAAGTTGGATAGAACTCATATACCAGATATTATGAAAAATTAGTTTTAAGGTAATTTTCTGATGCAATGACCCAGCAATTTATAATGATCATTGCTCTGCATGCAAATCAATCAATTTTACCTTTGCTTCACACGTCTTGATCAATCATCAGATTCGTCAAACACTCAAAAAGACTACTTTCACACTTGATTCAGATAAAGTTGGAAAGGCTATTATAAAACTTCATAACTACTAACACTGTCAATTTTCAAAATGAAAAGTGTGCACGACCCTCTGTGCCTGTACCTACGCAGCAATCTCCTCATGGCAAACATTTTATCATACCAAACCAAAAACCACACAATTTTGGTCAAAAAGGAGCCCATGAACTCCAATTCCTATTTTTCTCTATTCAACAAGTACTGACCGGTCAAAATTGAAAAAGAATTTAAAAAAAAAAAGGAAAGAAAACCTCCAGAGTTCAGATCATCTTTAAGATTAACCATCCAAGTGATGCAAAAACAGAAGAAAATGCAGAAAACTAACCTTCTTGAAATACAAAGGTGCCTGTTTTGCAACTTCTTGGGGCAGAGGAATGCACTCCAGCAAACAATGACGGCGTTGCTGTGCCAAGCCCATCACTGTTTCAAGGAATACAACCTCCTTATCCTGCTTAGCAAACATCATTATCAGGCACTTCTTGAAATTCCGGATTTCGTCCCATACATTGTTGTCCACAGTTCTTGTTGAAGACTCATGCTGCACAGGTCAAAAACCATTGTTACCACTAGTGAGATGATGAAAATAATTCCAAGAACAATTCAGCAGGTAAGTAAACTTTTTTTCATTTCTTTATCAACAATGTTAGTGCGTAAAACTTAAATGTCCTTCATAAAAGTTCACCATAGTAAGCAGAAACGGTAATCTAGTTTTCCAAGATTTTACATCTTCAACATCTAATGAAATGTTAATCTGATGTATATTACCTTTTGCCGCCCTATGGATTAACCACAACACAGATAAGAAAATACACTCAGCCCCACTCTGTTTTTAAGGATGCAAATGCTCAACCTTCACTAGGACACTACAAGTAGCTAAAACACATCATGATACATCAGTAATGCGTATCCATCCAGGTTCTCTTAGTTCGTTTTTAACCAAAAATGCAAACCCAACCACTTTAGGTAAGAGTCAAACTTGTATACAGAATATCACTAAAAGAAAGGAGAAAGCAATTCCTACCAGTCTAAGTTTGTGAATCAGAATGCTGAGATATATCTAAAGAATGAGGGACATGCAGCTTATCCTACAAACAGACTAGAAAGGAGGAAGGCCACTTCGTCATAGACACTCAAGCTCTAGAATTACAGTGGAGAAACCCTGCTCAGGTCTAGGTATAAAATGTGAATATGGAGAGAGAGAGAGAGAGAGAGAGAGATTATTAACATTTTGTATGTAAGGGGGAAACCCTGCTCCCATCTAGGTATCAAATGTGAATATGAAGAGAGAGAGAGAGAGCGTTTGTGTAATTTCACCTGCATAGTTACAATGCAGCAATGACCAGGTACAACAGGCTGCCGGTGGGGTAATGATAGGTACGTGAAATTTGCAATGGCAACAACAAGATGCTTTGGTCTTGCTGGATTCTCGAAACAAAATTGACACCTCTCTTTCTGTGTCAAGAGGCGATTTGCAATCCTAGTTGCCTGACTTATCTCATTTGATTTTTGGTCTGTACCCCTTCCTTTATGCCGAGTCTTTTTCCTTGGACCATCTTCATAATCATACTCATCATCTGCCTGACCAGATACCTTATACTGTTGGTTTCGCATTATCTTTTGAGCCAGATGCAAGTCAGCATCCTCCTCTTTCATCTTTTGTCGAGCAGATACGTCATGCATGATATATCTGATAAAAGATTGTTGATAAAACTCAAAGAGTTTGAGAATTCTGCAATGAACTACAACTAAAATAAAGTGATATCAGATGGTGGTTCAAGTCTACCTGCTTGTGCTCCCATCAATCCGTGGTCTGTGAGACTCCTCCTCAGCATCTGGCTTCACCTTTGTGCTTTCTGCCTCCTCCTGAACAGGTAAGAGAAAAATTTGTTAATCATGGGCAACTTAGGTTCTAAAATGTAATTTAAATTCTAAGCTAATGTGATAGTTTCCTTGAATTTCTACAAACAAAGGCAACCCGACATTCAGATCTTCCACTTATGATCAGTGGGAACACTACACAATCCCCTTGAGTTTCTAAAACAAGATGCAACACAACATTCATGTCTTCCTCTCTGATATTCCAATGGAACCTTTTGGTAAGTAATACTGATGTTAAAAAGACTAAAAACATACATGGAGTAACTAACAGGGAAAAAAACAGTAGAGAGCCAGGACTAAAGAAGTTGGATTTTTTTGTGTGGTTGGTGTGTGTGTGTGTGGGGGGGGGAGGGGGGGGGGGCTGGTCAACGCTCCAACCGAAATGTGGCATCTATGTGATGAAATCACCACGGAAAGCAGTTCCAGAAGATTTCCGTCAACCAAAAATGTCAAAGGAAAGAAAGAATTGCTACCCAAAAATAGCTAAGGTTAATTAATTAAATTGCTCTAGTTGTACTGATTTTTCTACCCTAACAAATTTTGATTGTAAAAAGAAAGAAAGAATAATCATTCCTTCCTGTTGGCATCTACTAGGCCAGTGTCAACTGAAAATTCTAAACATGGATCATAATATTATACATGCTAAGCTCCATAATTGTAATGTGATTGCACATACATTTCTACAAACTGAAAATGATCAAACTCATTTGGTGCAGGGAAAATCTAAAATTGGATTCCTCATATGCAGTGGAAGATCACTTTATGGAGATTAAAATGAGAGAAAGATAAGCTTATGCACATGCCATAATATATGTAATTTTGTATATAAAACCAGATAAAAACTAAAACTGAAATGGTTCCCTACCAAGAGCTTTTGAGCCTCTTCATGCTTCCCTTTCATGCGAAGCTGCATGACTTTAGCAGCCAACTGATTTGCCGTCAATGCTGGCTTCACAGTTGGACCATCTTCACCATGTCTTTCAACCAAATTGGATTCCACTAGTCTGTCATTTTTTGTATTTGATGAACTGACAGGATCATTTAAACTATCATTGTTCTTTTGCATAAAGTCACGCATAAAGCTTCCATCATTGGAAAACTTATTTAAGCTATTCACTGCAGCAGAGAGGTTGATATCCTGAGCAGGCATCTTGCGCTTTCCCCAGGATAAAGAATCCTGAACTTTCGGTACTCTCATTTTTGTATGGCGGGAAGATCCATCCTGCAAAAAGTTACTGTTAGGATTCTAAAACTTATCAAGAAAGGGAAGAAAACCATTAAAAAGAATTTAACCAGGAAAATAATGGAAAATTTTGAAAAATTACCAAAAATAGTCACTTATTTCTTTTAATATTGGAAAATATTGCTTCATTAAGCCAACACCCTTCAGGAACAATACAATCTGGAGAAAGCATACCTTCTCAGTAAATATTCCCTTGTCTCCATCTGTGTCTGTCTGTCCTTCATCCTTTAGCCCTCTCCTCCTACATTTTATCGCATGAAGATGAGCATGATTTGGTGCTACTCTATGAGATGCCGCAGAAACTGCCATCTCTCCAAGAGAGCCCCACCGATCTTCAACTACCTGTGCAAAGTTAGTTCATTATGCACTACTAACTTGAAAGAAGAATCTTCTCATAAGAAACCTCCACATACCTCCTGAAGCTTCCGTCCTTCACGGGCTGCTTGCTCCT